AATTTTGTAAAGGCTATCTTCAAATCTACATGGTAAAAATCTACTTTTTGAAAAATAGCAAGTATCCTCCAAAAACATCAACTAAATTCTTGAGATTAAAACCCCCAAATTAATAGGGCACCTAAAAATTAATGCAAATTATATCAAATGTCAGTACTGACCTCTTTTTCAGCTTCTTTAAATGTTGCTTCTTTCTCCTTGACTCGCTGCATAAATCTCTGTTTCAACTCTTCTTCTTCCCTCTGACATTGATTGTAGAACTCTTGTTTTTTGGCTTCAAAGATTTCTTGAAAACTAAAGAGAAATGTTATTAGAGAGTACATGTAAAGAATACTACAATTTTCCAACACTTGTATGAGTGAATTCTTATCCCCACCACTTTCCAGCATATCATACCTTCTTCACATCTTTTGACAGTAAAATTCAGCGAAACCTCTAATGTATGAGACGATTTTCAAAAATTGTCTAAAATAAAGCAAAGAGCCTTTCAAGATATTATTCATTTAAGATAGTTAAATTTTGGGTGTCTGCAAAGAACAATGAATGATATAACTGAATTACATACACTACAGTGCCATATTTCCATTTTTTTTGGCAGCCCGAAGGTCCTATTCTTTTTTTTTTTTTTTGAGGACAGAGTCTCGCTTTGTTGCCCAGGCTGGGAGTGCAGTGGCACGATCCAGTTCACTGCCACCTCTGCCGGGCCCAGATTCAAGGCGATTCTCCTGCCTCAGCTCCCAAGTAAGGATTATGCCCACCCGAGCCACACACCCACGGCTAATTTTTTTTGTTATTTTTAGTAGGGGACAGCGGTTTTTACCATGTTGGGGCCAGGCTGATCTTAAAACTTCCTGACCTCAGGTGATCTGCCTGCCTCGACCTTCCAAAGCTACCGGGCTTACAAGCAGGAGCCTCCGGCACCCCCAGGTTTTTTTTTTGTTGCTGATTCTTCTTCAAGTTAGAGCAATATATCTGCTCATCAATTATTTTCTCCTTTAACTCCAGACACTGCCACTACCTGTGGTTTCAGCAAGGCTTCCTCATCCAAATTCCTTCGTATCATCTTTGTCAACTGTTTTGCTAATATTTTTCATCTTTTTCTTTTATCCTTTTTTTTTTATTTTGAGACCAAGTCTAGCTCTGTTGCCCAGGCTGGAGTGTCAGTAATGTGATCTCAGCTCATTGCAACTCCACCTCCTGGGTTCAAGTGATTTCCTGCCTCAGCCCTCCCAGTAGCTGGGATTACAGGTGCATGCCATCCACGCCTGGCTAATTTTTGTATTTAGTGGAGACAACGTTTCACCATGTTGGCCAGGCTGGGTCTCGAACTCCTGACCTCAGATGATCCAACCCTCGGCCTCCCAAAGTGCTGGGATTACAGACAAGAGCCACCGTGGCCCAGCCTATCCTTTCTTTCATATAATACATACACATTTCATATAAATACAAAAAATACAACAAAATACTGGGTTTTTTCTTCAACACACATTTCAGCATATACACATATTGAATACACATATTTCAGCATAAAAATGAGATCTCGCATGATGTTGTTCCTACTATCTCTATCTTCATCAAAAGATGATAAAAACACCTAACATTCAGGATGTTTTCTTTAGGATGGCTCAAGATGGGAGAAGTATAATTATTCTCATACCCAAATTATTGTATCTTCTGCTTGTAGGGGACTCGTAAATTATCCATTTGGTTGTGCTAGCAATATTTTTACTCACCTAACTGGCTGGTTGTCTGGGCCCACATCTGTAAAGCCCATTTTCTCCAGTTTTTGGTACCAATAACATTCATAGTGCTGAGTGTGGGTTTTTTCTTTTAGATTTTCCATATTGGTACAAAGAAGCATATCTCAGAGCTTAACAAAGTCACAGTGATTTTCATTTTCCACTAGTAAAAAAATGTAATGAATCAACAACTCTCATTATCAATTCCTGACAATCATGAATGAATGAAATCATGAAATAATGAATGAACACATGAATAAAAAACACATTTAAAATAACCCATAACTGCACAATTTGATTAATAGCTATAATTCTTTTAACCATGTAAGTGTGGTTACACTATACATACCAACTATAGGCAGAGATTATTTATAGGTTAGCAAATTTGCTTTAAACTTATTACCTGAAGAACAAGCAGGAAAGAGTGAAATAATATTTTATATGCATATATGCTATTGGTTTTTATTAACAATTGTGTTAGTATGTTATAAACTACCTCTCGGTATTTTGGAGTGCTAACAGAATATGTAATATAATATCACTAGTGTAAATAATTTTATCAAAGTAAATTCTGCTAGCAAAAAGGCCTTACAATTGTACATACTTCAGTTGGAAAGATATTCCATGCAATTAGAAACTAAAAGAGGGAGCACAGAGACCGATACTCCTATCACAGAAGACAGACTTGAAGTCAAAAACTGTAAAATGATATAAAGAAGGTCATCATATCATGATGAAGAGGTCAGTTCATCAAAAAACTAACAATTGTAAATATATATGCATCCAATATCAGAGTTTCTAAATATATAAGGCAAATATTAGTAGACCTGAGGGGGAGATAGACTGTATTACAATAATAGTAAGGGACTTACATACCCTACTTTCAGAAATGAATAGACTATCCAGACAGAATATCTGTTTAAAAATGTCAG